CCAGAGTTTTTACGTGCAAACCCCTGAAAAAGGGGGAAAAACCATAGGGCTTGGCTCAGTTTGAATGAATCAATTAGTATTTGCAGTTGATTACAAATGAGGCCCTTCCTCGAGAGAAGGCCTTTGCTTGATGGTACAAATGTACATCATATAGAGCGCATTACATGATGGGAGTTACAATAATATATATGTTTGTTTGGTTGGAAGGGCGGTAGTCATAGTTGGAAGGAGACTGAGGTCAGAAAGACTATTGTTTAGCGATGTAGGTCGGAAGGACCGTAGTAGGCGACGGAGGTCGAAAGGACCGTGGTCAGTAGGAGACAGAGATTTGAAAGACCGTAGTTGGCAGGAGATCAAGATCAGAAAGACCGTTGTCTGGAGATGGAGGTCAGAAGGACGTCCATAGTAGGCGGCGGAGGTCGGAAGGACCGTAGTCGGCAGAAGATCGGGGTCAGAAAGATCGTTGTATGGTGATAGAGGTCGGAAGGACCATAGTTAGAGATAGAGGTTGGAAGGACCGTAGTCGGCAGGAGACCGGGGTCAGAAAGATCGTTGTCTGGTGATGGAGGTCGGAAGGACCATTGTAGGTGATGGAGGTCAGAAAGACCGTAGTAGACAGAAGACAGAGGTTCGAAAAATCATAGTTGGTAGGAGATCGGGGTTAGAAAGACCGTTGTCTAGTGATGGAGGTCGGAAGGACCATAGTAGGCGCCGGAGGTCGGAAGGACCGTAGTCGGCAGGAGACCGGGATCAAAAAGACTGTTGTCTGGTGATGAAGGTCGTAATGGACGATTGTAGGTGATGAAGGTCAGAAGGACCGTAGTTGGCAGAAAATCGGGGTCTGAAAGACCGTAGTTAGTAGGAGACTGGGGTCAGAAAGACCATTGTAGTAAGGCGATACTTTGGTGGAACTCCAGGCATCAGGTGGCGGTCTGGAAAAAGTTCGGGCCTCAGGTGGTGGTCCGGCAAAAGTCCATGCCTTAGATGGCGGTCTGGCATAAGTCTAAGTGTCACGTGGTGGTCTGGGAGAAGTTCAGGCCTTAAGTGGCGGTCCGATAGAGTCCAGGGCCTCAAGTGGTAATCCAACAGAGCTCAGGGCCTCAAGTGGTGATCCAGCGGTGCTCAGAACCTTAGGTGGTGGTCTGGCAGAGCAATGACGTCAGGCGGTGGTCTATCCGGCGGAGGTGAGGGCCCCCAGTGGTGATCCGGCGGAGAAACGACGTCAGGCAGTCGTCCGGTGGAGGTGAGGGCCTCAAGTGGTGGATCGGCCGAGCAACGATGTCAGGCGGTGGTTCAGCAGAGGTGAGAGCCTAAAGTGGTGGTCCGACGGAGCTCAGGTGGTGGTCGAGGATGAGCTTCTTCCATCTCTTCCTTCTCTTCTTCCTTCTCTTCTCCTCTTTCTTGGAGCCTCCTTTCAAGAGAAATGTGGGGTCTATTTATAGATTTAAGGAGTGGCATGACTCGTAAATATGTGAGAGATCAATGGTAAATGGGGAGTGGTTGAATGGATGGTCGATATTGATTCCCTTGATCGTGGACCATTCATTAGGCATTTGAAGGTTCTAATGATGTCAGAATTCGGCGATCTTGGGCTCGCTGGATTCGACTTGTCAAGTTTCTCGATTCAACTATAAACACGTTATATTTGGAAACCGTTTGGTAATCCAAATTGTGGTTCGAACCTTCCAACAACGCTTTGGGTCCTTGATTTGGACTCATTTAGGCTCGAATTGAGTTGATTTTGGTGTCGTTGGGTTCGTATTTCCGAGACGTTCAGTTTGACTATAAGTTTGTTGAAATCAAAGTTCAAATGGTCCCAATTTTAATTTTGGAAGTTTCCAACTTGATTTTGCATCAAGATTCGCGTCCGATCAAGATAATTTTTTAATGACGTATCAATTATAAATGTAATCCTTTGCAGTTCTCTCTCCTCTTGACAGATTGCAATTGTGAGTGTGATGCTCAGTCTATTTTAAACTTGGCAAGAATTACTTCTTAGTTGCCTTCACCTTTTTCCATTTGCATGGGGTAAGTAAAAGACTAAAACTTCTTAGCTAAAACACTTATAGTACCCACCCAGCGAGCTCCTAACAGTAACACCAAAATGCTCCTCTTTAGCTCCTCCTCGACCACCGCCGGACTTCCGCCTTGCCGACGACTAACGACGGACTTCCGCCTGACCGTCAACTGATGCCAAACTTCTACCCGACCGTCGACTAACACCAGAATACAGCTCGACCGCCGACTGATGTCGGATTTTCCTTCTGCCATCGATTGAAGCCGAACTTCCTCCCGACCAACAACTGACATTGGATTTCTACTCGACCACCGAACGTCCGGACTTCCGTCCGATCTATGTTTGTCATCAGATTTCAACCCGACGGTTGACTATTGTAATACGGCCGCTTTCAATTTCAAGGACAAATCAAGCACTTCTAATATATTTGAACACTAATTGAATCATTTCAATTGGACATGACCGCGTGATTTTTCCCTTTTCTCGGATTCCCACGTAAAAATTCAAGTGTTTAATTTTTCTTTATTAGTGTGATGGATATCCCTACAATGCTGAGACAAAAAATTCTAACTCTATCGCCACGTGCATTCTAGTCCATAACAACACTAATCCAAAATTGAATGAAAGGACACCAACAACTTGATATGTGGCTCGTTGGTTGACGGAATTTGTTACTTTCGCAAAGAGCCACACTTTCTCAAAAAATTATTCTGTGCAGAGTCCAAAATCCAATGAAAATGCATCACGTCCGATACCGAGCTTAGTACCGAGCGATACCGCTTGGTATCTAAGCATAAATTAGACGATTCTCCCGTCCGGTATCCACACAGAATAATCTCTCTACTTTCTCCCCAAAAAAAGACACTGGCAATACCTCTATAACTATATCTGCATTTTTGGTTTTAATTAACAGCTTCAATATGTCTTGTATTATTACATGAAGCTTAAAAAAATGGAATCCACATAAAAAAATCCTGGTTCTCCAATGCTGCATTGGTTCTTTGGAAGTTAAATAGTTTATCAACAGAGATTGCCGTTAAACTTTCTTGAGAATGGTGCAACTCAATGCAATACATTTTTGAGATTTTTATATACATAGCACCTAAAATTATTAAAAATATATATTTAACACCTAAATTTTTATATTTACTAATATACCACCTAAACTCCTCTTTTAATCAATTCTAACATTCCGTTTAAACCTTCCATCAAAAATCACTATCAGCGACTCTCTTCACCGTCAATGGTATCCTTTCATAGTGATCGCTTTAATGAAGTGGTAGAATAGAAGGAAAGAGAAAATTTAGGTGGTATATTAATAAATATAGAAGTTTATGTGTTAAATATGTATTTTTAATAATTTTAGATATTATGTATGTAAAAATTCTTACATTTTTTTTAATTTTACAAGTCTTGGGCGCTATTGCTATATACTCTATTAATTAAAAAATATATGTTAAAATATATAATATATATGTTGTGAAATTTATCTTAATTATTTAGTCCTATATCTCTTGGGCCATGTAAAAAGAATGGATATTGTTTATTTGGTAGATGATTATTATAAAAAAATTAATGCTCATTTTAAATTAAATTTATTAAATTAATTAATTTAATTATATAAATGATATAGCAAATAAATTTTCCAATTTCTTAAAACTGGCACAGTCAGACCAATTTTTGGTTTGGTCAAAATTTTTAATCATTGCTTAATAATGTCAAAATTAGATGATTTTGAACTTCTTGGATTTCTCTCACTAAGATGTTTGATTTAACTATGAAGATTTTAGAGATCCTTAGGTCTTTTAAATAGAATGATGAAATTTTTTATTGTACTTCAAGTGTTTGATTTGAGCTCATTCAAACTCAAATTAGACTGCTTTTGATGTCCTTAAATTCTTTTTTTTTTTTTGAGACATTTAATTCATTATAAATTTATTGAAATCAGAATTTAAATTATCCAGGATTTAATTATATAGTTTTCAATTTAAATATGCAATAAGAATTGTGCTCCATCAAGTTGATTTTGATAACGTAGAAGTTAAGCCTTCAAAAACTTTTTGGAAAGTTATGAAGTGCGAAATCAACGCAGACATCCCATTGTGAAATTGAACCAAATAAAATATTCTTAATTTTAATTTCAATTTCTTATGAAGTTTGCATGTAGATTTAGGAAAAAATTATTGAAGCTTTTTATTTTATTTTAAAATTTGAAGGGTTATACACACACATACGAGCCTCTATCATTGGACTGTCGCATTTGCTCGACCATTGTCGACGGACCTCCATTGCTTGAACAGTTTTATTGGATCATTGTCTAAGCTTCTCTGTTGGACTAATGTTGCTTGACCACTGTAGTCAAACCTTCGCTATCTAGCCATCGATGTCAAGAATCTACCTAACCAATATCTTTGCTAAGTCACTGTAATTGGACAACCATTCTCCATTGTTGTCGTCGGACAATCCCAATTGCAATACCACCTCCAATGAACCGTCGTCACCTAATAATCATCATCAGACTGTTGCCACCGATAACCATCCTTAACCATGAAAGCGTCCAAATGCTTCTTATCCATCATTTTTTGGCAATTGCACATATTTTTGTATTCTCACATTCTAATTTTGGGGACAGGTAAATATTTTTAACCAACAATCACATTATGAAATTATTTTTGTTGGAACAAATCTCTCTTTTTTTTTCTCAAAATTTTCATATAAATTTTTAATATCTCCTGTGTTCTTTTCATATACTATTTATGTATAATATTTTCATGTAAATCTATGATGCAAAACTCTCTAATTCTACCTACACAAAATTTTTAATATACAATAACTTTTTTATTTATTTATAATTAGACCTACTATAATATGATAATGATAACAAAGTAGTTGTATAATTTTTATTTTTTAAATATAGGGTGCTAAAACTGCTAATAATAATTTATAATAATTTTAAATACATTATTTTTCCTCCAATAACTTCGATATCTCATTTACTTGCCGCCCTCAGCTTCGCTTGGAGCCAAATCTAGCACGTCTCTGTCATCGTAAGCTCACGGATCAGTTCTGGCTCTGTTAGGTCAATGATCGGAAGTACGGGTAGCCGGAACGTTGGCGGCAGCGCCGCTAGCGAAAATGAGCCGCCTAACTTCCAGTCGTCTTCCGTTACAATCACAACTCCGATGGCTTCGGATCCCAGAATTCCTCTTCTCAACCTCTCGCTCCTGGGCCAGAAAATGGATTGCCTCCGCCGCTCTCTCTCCGATTCCGTCGATCGCCACGTTTCCATCAGCGGTGACCAGCTCCAGTTGTTCTCCGGCGAGATAGCCTCAGCCGTTCACCAGGTCATCATTAATGGTTCCGCCCTCCTCCTCGCTTCTACCCAACTTTTAGATGCTACCAAACCCTTACATCCACTGTCTAACATTGACGCGAAGCCATCAGTTAATTCTGGTCAAGTTCCTCCTCGGCCTCTTCCGGAAGCGGTGGTGGCCGACGCTGACGCCGAAATCGTGGAGATCGATGCGTCGGAGCTAATGGCAGAGCACGTTCACTTTTGTGAGATCTGCGGCAAGGGCTTCCGGCGCGATGCCAACCTCCGAATGCACATGCGCGCTCACGGAGACCGCTTCAAAACCCTAGAGTCTTTAACCAAGCCATATGGCCGGATTGCCACTGAGGGGATTGATACGGGAAGACATGTACGGTTCTCGTGCCCGTTTCTTAGCTGTCGTAGGAACCGTAATCACGCACGTTTCCGGCCGCTAAAGACAACAGTATGCGTTCGGAATCACTTTCGTCGGAGCCACTGCCCGAAGATGTACACATGCGATGTGTGCAACAAGAAGAGCTTTTCGGTCGTGGCGGATTTGAAAAACCATAAGAAGAGCTGCGGGGAGTCACAATGGCGGTGCTCATGCGGCACAAGCTTTTCTAGGAAAGATAAGCTGTTTGGTCATGTTGCCCTGTTTGATGGCCACTTTCCTGTAGTGGGGACTGGGGAGGAAGAGAGGGGAGATGGGGCGGTCAAAGCCGGTGAAATAAAAGATAAGAGAGGAGGACAAGCTGGCGGAAGTTTAGATGAAGGATTCTTTGATGGGCTGATGGAGGAGATTGGGGGGATGGGTGGGGGGTGGATGGGGCTTTAGCCTCTATGGCTTAGCGATTTCGGCCTTCCTACCTATAGTGGCACCCAGGTGCGCTACCCATCGTTTTTCTCATTAGTTCATGCATCGAATTATGGGCTGTTATGAGTGCAGATGAACATTAATGGCGGAAAAGATTTCATAAAACTGATCTCAAATACTTAGATAAGACTAGTTATGATGATGATGTTACCAATATGAAGGCAGATTATATCATATTGGAATATGTTGTGAATGTTTATGATGCCTCGTGAAGCCTTGTATAGTTTTGATTATTTTTATCATGGTTTTGCGTATTGTACCACGGGAATGTTGTGCGCTATTTTCTGTTGCAAACTAAGCAAAGGGAATTAATAATCTGGTGTTCTTTTATTATAGCATGTGTGTTTGTAAATTCATTGATTTGGAAACTTTTTAATTGTATAAACTGAGGGAATTGCTTGTTTGAGATGTGATTCACTTGGGATTGTCATTTTCAAGATTGAAATTCAAACCTAGATTGGGAAATGAGACAGGAATGAAGCACATTTTTTTTGTTTTTTTGTTTTTGAATGGAGCACACTTAGTGTAGTGAGCAGACATAGGATGCCTGCCCAAATCATGATCTGTAACGTCAAAATAAGACTTTGGCTCTATGAGATTATACTTGTTTATTACATCTTTTTTTTTTTGGTGAAAGCTAGTTCTAAAATATCCCTTGATTAGACAGGTCTTTACATTATAGATTTAACATTCTGTGTTAAATATGCTTCATATGTCAATTCCTTAAGTTATATAAGAAATACTACATTAATGGCACAACTATTAAGGTTATCTATGAATTAGTACCTTCATATAAAAGAGTAGATTCTGAGTTTTTGCCTGCTTGCCTCAAGACTTAATTGGTGTTTCAAGCAAATTCCTAAAAATGTGGTTATATTCTTTTTCTGGCTAAATATGCAAAAAATAAAACATTTCTTTGTTTTGCGAACTTTCCCAAAACTCCCTTCTACCTAAGCATGTTTCTCATAAGTGATGGCTACGAGGCGGGCTATGCAAGTAAGGTTAAAGCTTAGGCATAGTCTCTCTAGAGGAATTGCTTTATTATTATAATGATTAAAAGGATATTATATATAATAAAATCCAATAAAAATAAAATTTGACCAGTGCAAATTGCATGAAAGGATCTAAGGGTTGTGTTTTAAAATATTTACCTAAAAGGACGGGCTTTTAGAATTTTGAAACTTTTATTATTTCCCGATTTTCCTTTTGGTGAGACTTTAACTATGATTAGAAAATTGCACTTTTCTTGAAATTTTAATATTTCAGCCATTCATTTGGATTTGGTTTTGGTTTCACCTACCATTCCTTTAACTTTTCAGATAAGGGAGTGTGGATGAGTTTTGAATTCTGAACAAAGTACAAGAAACTAGAATCACATACAAAATTTAATCACTCACATAAGCCTGTATGCAAACTCAAATAGAGTTTATGAAAAAAAGGGCTAAAAATGATAGCAAATGCAATTGAAAGTTGTGCATGCTTCACATAAACTTATTAGTATATACAAATTTTATTATTTTATGTTTACGTAATTTTTTGATTTTGAGGCTTGCATCTCAAATCGCCTTGAGGCTTACGCCTCGCCTCACGAACGAAAAACACCTCAATACCCGAATACGCAATTTTAAACCTTGGAAAGTTGTGCATGCTTCACATAATTGCGCAAACGTTTTTTATAGGTATGCACTTCATATATATATATATATATGTATATGTGTGTGTGAAGGCTCATTAGTGTCAACTTTATTAAGTCTCACTCTCCATTCATTCATGTTTGGTGTTACTTGAGGTGTTTTTGCATATATCATTTTTGCATCATTTATGTCCATGTTTTCTTTAAAACCAAACCCTCGTAGTTGGGTTGAGGCTAATTATATGATGATGATTTATGCATGTCAGCTTTGATTTACAACATTTCCTTCCATATTAATTTCATCTGTTTACCCATCTTATTGATGTCTTTTTTTTGTTGTACATGTCCAAATAACTTAAATATATTTTAAACTACATTATTTTTATTTTGTGCTACTTCTATCTACAAGCTCTGATGTAATTATTCTATATATATAATTTCTAATTCATCTCGGATGCATGCAATTCTCATTCTCACAATCAACACAATGAATTTATTCCCAATAACTTACAAAGAGTTCAGCCACTAAATTTTTATAGCCCTCCCATGCACATGTTGCTATTTCTACCCCTTATTTACAAAGCTAATTAAGATAATTGCTTTTTGAAACCAAGATTAGCTCTGCCAATAGAATCTGCATCATATAAGAACATCAAAGGAGATGGGGTTAGCTCAAGTGGATGTTTGGTAGCATGTATTTATAATTCAAGAGCATTTCAAATGCAATATAATGCAAATATAGTATGTTTGAAATATTTATAATTATTTTGTTGATTGTGAAATGCATTCAGACGATTATTTTTTTTTTGTTGATTTTGATATAAGATGAATCTAAAGTTAAAAAGAGAAACAAATCTTAGGTTAGAGTGGTGGTCATATTTGAGGTGATCGAGGTGAACAACATACACATACAAGCAACATGTATTGTCAGGTGGGAGGCAAAAGCAGCGTTAGAGCGACATCAAGTGTGGAGGTGAATTTCAAATGCGTTTGTGTATAGTGTGGTAGTAGAGTACTAGAGTGTATTTATATATAGTCTGATTTGGGTGACTAAAGACACTTAAAAAAATAAACTAAAAGATGAATTTCAAATGCATTAATAAATTGCCTTGGATTTATTTTTCATCCCAACTAACACTTAATATTTCAAAACCTGTGCATTCTTGTAAATCTACGCTCAAAATACTTCACACCAAATAGCCGTCAAAGAAACTAAAAGTCTTATATGAATGAGATAAGCACAAGTGCTTATGGAGACCTCCAAAAATGCTTTGCACTATACTACTTGTAACCTTATTCTTTTAGCTCTTTTATTTTGAGTCTCTCAAATCTCCATTCAACTAGCTCCTTAAAATTCTTTGAACCCTTTCATTAGGCGATCTTAGACACTTTATTCACATTGAACTCATTCTACCAACCAAATTCTTCCGTCTTTTGAAAGTTCAAAGGCACCATAGTTATTTTTAGGAAAATAAATCCATATTCTTTTGGTGGAGTCGATGATGAAGGTGACATAGTAAAGTGAGTTATCAATGGATTCCATTGGGATAGGTCCCAAACTTGTGTGTGTACACACACACACACATATAGATATAGGTAAGCTCCAATTTTTGAATGGTTGGTTTCCTTCCAACCATTCAAAAATTGACCTTCATTTGCTATAAATAAAAGCCACAAAGCAAGGATCTTAAAATTTAAAATATACAATCATACCTTTTGTGTAGATTTTCCATTCTTTTCTCACTCATCTAAAAATTTCAAATTTGGAAGCATGCCTTTTCTGCGAATTGTCATTCTTTTCTCACTTATAGATCCCATTCTATACCATTTGTATGAATTGAATTATAAGTTTGTTGCTGTTCCTATTGCTTCAGTGTTAGATGTTATAGATAGCATGTCATTTGTGCTACCATACACTATCATCACAATACCATAGTCAACTTCCAAGTGCCAGTATTGAAAGCTAAATTATATCCTTCTTGTTTAAGCTATCAAATAAATATTAAATTCTCTTCAAACTTGGAATTTGTCTTAATCTATTAAGCTTCCAATCGTCTCATTAATGATTTTTATTTGAACTTCACAATTTTCAGCAGTGCTTATCCTCTTTGTATAAAAAAGATAAATTTTCTCCTAATTTTTCATAGAATAATTAAGCGCGAGTTTTTTATCTTAGGTTGAGTGAAGAGATACATTCATATTAAGTGAAGTGAAAATATACACCCAAGTTCTAAATCTTGGACTCCAACAAACTATCATAACTGAGGATTGATGCACCTTGAATGTCTTTTGTGGTAACATTCATCTTTTTTTTTTTCTTCAGTCGAGGCTTCGAGCTTTATCATCCTTTCTTTTGTGAAACATCTCTTTTCATGTGCCTGGTCTTTTCACATTACCAACATGCGTCCCTGCAACTTTGGAACTAACTTTTTCAGTTTAAATCTCCCATGATTATATCTATTCTTTGTAGATCTTCTACCTTAATATTTAGAGCAGAAGAAGAGAAGCGTACACACTTGATTTTCATTTTCTTATGTTCTCTCGAAAATTTTAGTTTCAAAATAAGTATGCTTCAGCTTCATAGGCACATTGCAATAATTGATCACCGTAATAGTTTTTCTTTAGTTGTCATAAAGCGATGACAGCAAGTTCAAGGCAACTTCATTGAAGTTGATATTATATGAACTCAATTGACTAGTGATTAAGTTGAATTCATTGATGTATTTTTCTTTAGAAGCACCTTCCCTCATCTCAAGATTAATTTTTTTTTTCATTAGAAGTATTTTATTTGCTATAGATGGTTTCTTGTGCATATCCGAGATAGCTTTAATTTCAGAAGTTGTATTCTTGTGTAATATGTTGAAGATAACATTCATGAGCAGTGATGACATAATTTCTATTTTATGGTTGTTTCGGTGATCACAATCTTCTTGGTTCATTTATGTGAATTATCACTAAGAGAGTGGGATGGAATTTGTTCTGGTGAAGATAATCTTTGATCTGAATCTTCAACTACCTAAGATATTTTACATCAAGCTTTTTGACTTAATTCCATCATCAGCCATCATTATTCTCACTTTTATCCTGGAACTTCGTGACTGGTTTTGATACCGTTTTTTAGATATGGAGGAATATTGTGCTCCTAATACTTCACATTTCTACCTCGTAACAAATATTATCACAGTTGATAATTTGATTGGGACCAAGTATTCCATTAAATTTGTGGCTCCAATGGGTTTAAGTATTTTCAATTATGATTGATGAATACATGAGAGTTAGTGAATTTAGGCTCCATGTGGTTGAGTGGTTTCTTAGTGTATGATAATTGATGATATTGAATGCTTCACTCTTGAAGGAGAGTGATTGCCGATGTCGAAGAATCTTATGTGAGGAAACGATAGTTATGATCCATATAAAAATAGAGCATAGTCTCACATGGAAAGAAAATCAAGGCTTGAGTTCATAATATACTAATATTGGCATTTCTCAGTTGACTTAAGCTGTTAGGTTGATGGGTGTCCATCAGTTGGTGTATTGGGCTTGATTTAGGCCGCTTTTATTCAACCCTCTAACGAGAAAGGGATGGGAGGCAAGAGGGAGGGACAGAGAACAGAGGTTGGGAGTTTTTTTCTTTTCTCTCCCACTTTCTTACTTTCTCCTACCAGTTTTTTTTATGAATGTGTGGGTGGATACTAGCAATCAAGTGGAGGGAGGGCAGAATGCTGGTGTAGTAGCACTCGGAAGAGATCAATTGCAATTGCTAGCGGCAGATTGAGGGAGATACCTGGAGCTTACAT